TGACCAGGAGACTAGGTCACATAGGTCCTGTTAGGCTCCCTGGCTGGGGACCTCGGCATGATGGTCACCGATGGTTAGAGACACTGAGTGTTATGGTTGGGTGTCGCAAGCAGTGGCGCTCGTGCATCCACTCGTTATTTTCCTAACACACTCTATATGTATTCCCCATCTTCCGCTTGAATTTGCTTCGACATTCCCATCTTCATTTCGCTATTTTATCCAAATGGGCAACCAAAAGACAGCAACCAAAACCGGCGCACGAAAGTGCATGGTTAATGGTTGTAACAACTGAACTGAACCCTTAGTGGTCCACCAACCCGGATGTCGGCTTTTCGTCCCCTCACTTTGGTGGGAAGGCAATGAGTAGGGCTTCCTCAGCAGAGGCTGTTTGAGATACTTTGTCGTATGGGGGCATTTCGCGAAGTGCAAGGGCAGGGTGACCAGTCGCAACCCTAGATACCCACCCCCGACCATACTAAGGCTTTTGGAGGCAATGCCTGGCATTTCTCGCTGTCCACCAGTGGAAGCACATTTAGGCGTTTTGTGGGACGTTTTTCTTACCAGTTGTTTAATGGAGTCTCATTTTTGCTTGAATTAGATCAGATCTGCTTTTGTCCCCGCATTCAGACCCGCGATATGATTGCCAGTCTTCCACCAAAGAAATCGATCGCAAACAGATGAGAAAATATTCTAATTGGCGTGCTGCTCGTCCGTCGTTGGAGTACCACGTCAGAAAATGCTTTTTTAAATGTTGAAACTCGTTTTGGTAATAAACAGTCTATTATAATCGACGAAGCTGAGTAGTCTTTCACCATTCTCGCAGCGTTGGCTCAGGCCATTACTTGTGGTCCATTTCGAGCGTTCCAATCCCCTGCTATGGCGGGTACATCCCTTTTGGGAGCTTCATTAACGAGCGATTGAAAGCTACCATAGAACTCATCCTTGATATTGTCAGATGAGATAGTCGGAGGGTAGATAGCGATTACTGTGAGGTTCACTGGATGGCCTTTGAATCGTGCTACTTCAGTCCTAGAGGATACCGGTTTCCAGGACAGTAAAGCATTATTGGCCCGATAGCTTAAAGCAAGTGCCACTCCGTGTTGATCCGACGTTTTGTTGCCGCTGTGATACAACCAGTATTGTTCAAATAGTTGTTTGGCAGATTTGAAGTTTGTGTGTCGATTATCGATCTGCCAAACAACTATTCGAACAATTAACCTTGTCTTAGAAGCTCATTCGGTGGAGTCCGGTGAATTCTAAGGAAAACCCGTCGAGGCAGTCAGCTTACATGCTAACTGGTGGATACCACATGCCTCTGTAAGTTGGATGGGTAAATTCGAATGTGAAAAGGAGCAGTGCTATCGGTGTGGCTTCGTAGCTCAGCTGGTAGAGCATGCGCGTACAAAGCGTAGGTGGTGTCCATGCGTGGGTTCGAATCCCACCGAGGCTACTGAACTTTTCACAATCGACATACAACCAGTATTGACTATCGATACTAGGGATTTTGATACTTATGGAGCTGTAGCCCGCTAACCTGGCTAAAGATAGGCATGTTGTATCCAGTTGATAGTCGTGCTACACACTTATCGTTAGCACCCAGCTCCCGGCATCTTAAGAGTGTTCTTACGTCCCAGAATGCAAGGTAAGAAGTTTTGCGACAGCAACGAACATTTGAGGAATACAGAGGAATATCCATATCAATGGAGAATTTTTGTTTTCATTGCATATAATCCTGTGTTGTCGGTAATACACGGTCGACCTCTACCGTCCATCATAGATGGTTGTCCTATTGGTGGTAGACGAGTGTCTTCTCGAGGGATTCACTTTCATTTCAGCTGTCATCTGTGGTCAGAAACCGAACTGTGAGAACTGATGATAAAATCTCATTTAAGTCCACTTTAGATTTCGATGCTTGGGATGCTATCCTAGCCCCAAATTCTTTACCTGTGAGACAGATTTTTCTGTACCTGTTTTCACTTGACCGAAATACTTTCTATCTCCTTTTGCCGTGTATTTATCTAGGTGTTGGTGGTCAATCAGTTTGCCACTGTCACCGGCGTGCTTTGCACCGGGTCCGAAGTTCGAACGCCGGCATCTAACTCTGGTCGTAGACAGCTTCGCTGTGGTCCGCCTAATATGACTAACATCTTAAAGAGATTCTATTTGGTTCGCCTCTCCAAGTCTCGTGATTCGGGTTGGTGGTTTCCACGAGCCAACAGCAGGTCTTCGTGACTATGGGATTTACCCCGTCTGCTGCTCATTACTTAAGGTGTATAATAAAACGTTCATGTATAGGTGTTTATAGTAGATAATCAATCAGTGACATGTTCTGAGTACAACAGAAGAGGTACACCGAATCATAGGCTTTAATCAACTGAAGAATGGAAAAGAGGGTGGATATGAATGTACATAATACACAACGAATAATACAAGAATTGTAAAATAAACTGGAGGTCCAATACTTGACAGTTTTGAATTGAATTCAGTAATGGTTTATTTTAATTTATTCTTTTCATCTATTGTAGATTGTTGCACAATGAAGCTGTTCTTACACAACGTTCTCACTTCTCGCGTGCTTAAATCAGTTAAAGTTGGCTACCCTCTTGCCCTGAAGGTATCCATTCCTTTTCTAATCTACGGCATTCCAGGCCACTAATGTAAAAGTTAACGAGGTAGATTTCGATCCATCCTATGTTGCACGCCTTATTCCAAAAGTGGAATGGAAGGTGGTGAAGACAGTTGCCGATCAGGTAGGTGCTACTCTAATTTGACTCTATTCCGTTATCATTAGCTTGGTGAAATGCACATACCTCGACTCCCCGAAGAAGTTCCCTCCGATTATTCCGAAAACGTTCAGTTTCTGAAGTTGGCACACCGTGCACTTCTTGAAGTGGACGTTGTCGAAGGTACCCTTATATGTCCAGAAACCGGTCGTGAATTTCCCATTTCCAATGGAATTCCAAATATGCTTGTGAATGAAGGCGAATAAAGCACTGCACCTTTATATTATACTTTCTCGCTTAATCGACTCTGCCATCCACAAAAGGCATGCGATGCCTTTTGTTAACTGCATCATTAAGTGCACCAGATTTCGTGAAGGTTCGGAGTCTCGTTAACCGCAGCCCTCCCAAGGGTTACCTGTGATTTGTGGTAAACCGTTGCTAGTCCTTTAAACTGAGTTCATCTTTTCAACCAGTGAAACTGACCACACTGCCCCATTCTAAACCCGATAGGTACGGAATGTTTACCACTGAATTCTCTGTTCGCCGTTGTTAGGGTAGAATGAAAGCAAGGGTAGTAGATCCCAAAAATGGATAAACTTGAATTT